GTGAGCGTGAGTGAGTGTAAGCGTGTGAGCGTGAGTGAGTGTAAACGTGAGTGAGTGTAAGCGCGTGAGTGTGAGCAAGTATGTGAGTGAGTGTAAGCATGCGAGCGTGAGTGTGAGCAAGTATGTGAGTGAGTGTAAGCGTGTGAGCGTGAGTGAGTGTAAGCATGTGAGCGTGAGTGTGAGCAAGTATGTGAGTGAGTGTAAGCGTGTGAGCGTGAGTGAGTGTAAGCATGTGAGCGTGAGTGTGAGCAAGTATGTGAGTGAGTGTAAGCGTGTGAGCGTGAGTGAGTGTAAACGTGAGTGAGTGTAAGCGCGTGAGCGTGAGCAAGTATGTGAGTGAGTGTAAGCGTGTGAGCGTGAGTGAGTGTAAACGTGAGTGAGTGTAAGCGCGTGAGCGTGAGCAAGTATGTGAGTGAGTGTAAGCGTGTGAGCGTGAGTGAGTGTAAGCTTGTGAGCGTGAGTGAGTGTAAGCGTGTGAGCGTGAGTGAGTGTAAGCGTGTGAGCGTGAGTGAGTGTAAGCGTGTGAGCGTGAGTGAGTGTAAGCGTGTGAGCGTGAGTGAGTGTAAGCGTGTGAGCGTGAGTGAGTGTAAGCGTGTGAGCGTGAGTGAGTGTAAGCGTGTGAGCGTGAGTGAGTGTAAGCGTGTGAGCGTGAGTGAGTGTAAGCGTGTGAGCGTGAGTGAGTGTAAGCGTGTGAGCGTGAGTGAGTGTAAGCGTGTGAGCGTGAGTGAGTGTAAGCCTGTGAGCGTGAGTGAGTGTAAGCCTGTGAGCGTGAGTGAGTGTAAGCGTGTGTGAGCGTAAGCGTGTGAGCGTGAGTGAGTGTAAGCGTGTGAGCGTGAGTGAGTGTAAGCGTGAGTGAGTGTAAGCGCGTGAGCGTGAGCAAGTATGTGAGTGAGTGTAAGCGTGTGAGCGTGAGTGAGTGTAAGCGTGTGAGCGTGAGTGAGTGTAAGCGTGTGAGCGTGAGTGAGTGTAAGCGTGTGAGCGTGAGTGAGTGTAAGCGTGTGAGCGTGAGTGAGTGTAAGCGTGTGAGCGTGAGTGAGTGTAAGCGTGTGAGCGTGAGTGAGTGTAAGCGTGTGAGCGTGAGTGAGTGTAAGCGTGTGAGCGTGAGTGAGTGTAAGCGTGTGAGCGTGAGTGAGTGTAAGCGTGTGAGCGTGAGTGAGTGAGTGTGAGCGTGAGTGAGTGTGAGCGTGAGTGAATGTTAGCGTGTGTGAGTGTGAGTGAGTGTGAGTGTGTTTCAATGTGTGCATGAGTGAGTGAGTGTTAGTAAGTGTGTTTGTATTACTGAGTATTTGTAAGTGTGTGTAGGTTTGTGTTAGTGTTTGTGCTGCTGAGCAGGTGTGTTTGTGTGAGTAAGTTTGATTGTGTTTGTGTTACTGAGTGTGTATTTGTTAGTGAGTGTGTGTGTGTGTGTACTGTACCCAGTGCGTTGGTGCGGTTGAGCATGTAGTGCGTCTCGTCTCAGAGGTTGATGATTGTGTGTGTTTAGTGTGTGTGTAGTGTGTGTACTGTACCCAGCATACAGTACCCGGTACCCGGTGTGGTTGAGCATGTAGTGCGTCTCATCTCTGAGGTTGATGATCGTGTGTGTGTGTGTAGTGTGTGGTGTGTGTACTGTACCCAGTGCGTCGGTGTGGTTGAGCAATTAGTGTGTCTCGTCTCTGAGGTTGATGATGGTGTGTATGTGTGTGTGTGTGTGTAGTGTGTGTACTGTACCCAGTGCGTCGGTGTGGTTGAGCACGTAGTGTGTCTCATCTCTGAGGTTGATGATGGTGATGAAGGGCAGGTCTCTGCTCTGGTCTGCGGATGCTCCGAGTCTCTGCGCCAGCGGCCAGTGCAGCTGTGTGTCCAGCAGGTAGAAGCGCAGCGTCTTGTTGGAGCGGCACTGCAGGCCTGTGATGGAGTCCAGCGGAGGCCTGGGGACACTCCTGCAGCAGACGCTCCACCGGCCGAACGCACCGTATGAGCTCTGGACGCTCCTGCAGGAGGAGAGACTGACCCGCTGCAGATACAGAGCCAGAGCCCAGCAGCGAGAGACACACAGCTCACACACGCTCGCATCCGACGAGAACGACAGAGACTGACAGCAGCGCGGGAACAAATCCTCCTCTGAGCCGCAGTGATACTGCAGCGCCACAGCGCTCACCTGACACACACACACAAGATCATGTGATCTACACAACACTGCTGAGTAACACAACACTTCATTGTCACATGTCTGTCAGAACAAGGACATAAAAACTAAGCATCCATATTACACTCTAAATCGACTTATTTATATACAGTACTTACATGACATACTTAAAAAAAACTGATTCCTACTTAAAACATTGTATGATATTGTAATACTACGTCACATTATAATATTTTTAAGACACTATAAAAATAGTTCAAACTGCTGGAGGAACCTGTGTCAGCAGCTGATTGGCTGTGAGGGGATTGTGCGGGAGGAAGGTCAGGAGGGCGGGGCCTTTCTGTAGCTCCGCCTCCAGTGAGTAACTCTTCGCTCCCGTTGGCTGAATCCAGTGTATGACGCTCTCTCTGTTCTCAAACACCCAATCACACACGGCCTGTACAGTGAAGTTCCTCTGCGTCCGCGGGAAAACCTGCGTTTAGAAACACAGAGCTAGCATTATATTTCACTGTATGAGCGTATGGTCAGAATGAGAGTTATTATTATCTCACCAGAGAGCTGTTCAAACGCCGGTGTAGATACACACTTTCATCCTCCCTGAGTGACACGCCCTCTGCCACCGCCTGATTGGTCACCACAGCGAAGCGCACCTCCCCCTGCTGATCTGCACCAATCAGAAGGCAGCGTGTGAGAGCTGAGAGGGTCAGTGTTAGTGAAGTGTGAGGGAGGGTCAGTACCTCGTCTGAGCGCATGCAGAGCGGACAACAGGAAGGTGATGTAACCCGCCGGCTGAGGAGACGAGCTGAACCGGAAATAACCCACCACAGCCTGCTGGAGCGCACGCACACACGCACACACACGCACGCACGCACACACACACGCACGCACGCACACACGCACGCACACGCACGCACACACACACGCACGCACACACACAGTTTTTTCCCCCGTTTTTTTTCAATTCGTATGTTTTATATATTTGTTCAATAATTTCTCCAACTTCTTTGGCACACACACACGCACACACGAACACACAACCAACACAATAATAACACTTCAGGAATTTCAATGTGACAGAAGGACATAAGCAATTCAAAAATATTAAAATACAATTATTTATTTTTTAACAAGTATTGACATTATTTGCTGTTATTATTACTGTATTATTACTGTGTGTGTGTACCTGGTGCTGTGTGAGGAAGGTGTGCAGGGCTCTAACGGAGGGCAGGTACGTGAGCGGAGCACAAACTCTCTGAATGAAGCTCTCCAGATACTCAGACCGGACCGGACCCCTGTACTCGATCGGACCGACCCTGCTCACACACACAGTTATTATTATGAGTGATTATGAACACATGATTCGCTCTCTGTAAGCGTGTGTGTACCTCCTGTAGAACAGATGAATGACTGGATACTGGAAGAAAATCTTCTGCTTCCTGCATCTGCCCTGATGCCACCAGCAGTTCACCGCCACAAACTGCACCTGCACACAGGAAGCGCATCATCACAGACAGGAAGCAGCAGGCTGGTTGTTACTGGATGTGGTCTGAAGGGCGTCACCTGCTGGGCGAGCCGCAGCGCCACCTGCTGGATGTGCTGTCGTGCAGTGATGCAGTGAGCGCACCAGGGGGCGTAGTAGAACACCAGCGACACATCCGCTTCCTCCAGCAGACGATCCACTTCCTCTAGCTGACCCAGGAACAGATCCGCCAGCGGGGCCTCGGCCGGGAAGAAGCGCAGCGGAGCCCGAGGAGACGCCACCACGCTCTTCACACGACTGACAGCAGTGTGTTATTATTCATGATTTATATAAACAACACAACATCAAAAAAGTTGTGATGATGTGTAAAATGTAAATAAAAACAGAATGCAGTGATTCACAATAGAAGATAAAATACTAAAAAAAAAAAAAGAGACATTTTAAATTTGATGGCCGCAATGCTATTGTAAAATATTTTTAAAAGTGTGATTTATTCATGTGATCTAATATGTTGATTTGGTGCTCAAATATTATTATTTGTCTATATCTCTATATGTATTGCACAATATAATATTGCAGATGACTGTTAGATATTATTCTATGTTACATTTTACTGTATTTACCTGCAGGTGAGCAGTATATGATATTATAGTAAAATTTCACAGCAGTATATGATATTATAGTTATATTTCACAGCAGTATATGATATTATAGTTATATTTCACAGCAGTATATGATATTATAGTTATATTTCACAGCAGTATATGATATTATAGTTATATTTCACAGCAGTATATGATATTATAGTTATATTTCACAGCAGTATATGATATTATAGTTATATTCAGAGGTGTGTTTACCCGCAGGTGATCAGTATATGATATTATAGTAATATTTCACAGCAGTATATGATATTATAGTAATATTTCACAGCAGTATATGATATTATAGTTATATTCAGAGGTGTGTTTACCTGCAGGTGAGGGTTAAGGGTAGTATTAGCGCGCAGGTGAGCAGGATCGCGCCGCAGCACAGTTCGGGTCTTCTCTTCATCTGATCCGCCGCCTGCCGGAGCTTCGCCCGGATCCGCAGCATCACAGACCCGCTACAGCCAGCAGCTCATCCCGGGAGAGTAGAACCGAGCACAACCGAGCCGGAGACGAGCCGCTCCGAGCAGCACAACCGAGCAGCACCAACCGCTCAAACACACGTCACACTTCCGCCTCACGGGAGGGGCGGGGCCAGGCGAGGGAGCGTCTCTAAACTACACACACAAACGCGCGGTGTTTCATTTCATTAAATCTGGATTCTTACGAAAATGACGTTAAATGCACGCACAGATAAACGAGAATGTGCGAGGTCCTGGTTTAAAAAACCGAGTCAGCTCCGAGTCTTCGGTGTTTTGGGGTCGAACGCGTGCGTGAAGCGGCTCTGAGGCGCTTTGTGAGCTGAATTAACCTGCTAACTTTAGCTGGTGTGCTGTGCCTAGAGAAATACACTGCACGGTAACCTGCTGCAGGACGGGGTTTGTTCTGGTTAACAACAGAGCGCAAACAAACATCGGACCAATCAGCGGTGAGCACAGCGCAGTGAAGCCACGCCCCCAAACGACAGTAATAGTCCTTCACAGCAATGTTAGAGATGGACAAAATCACTTGGCCCTTAACGATTAACGTGTATCTGCTGCTATTTCTCGGAGTTTTGGTTAATTAAATCTGATATTAACGAAGATCTAGGCTGTCCAAGTTACGCTGGAACATTTGACAATTTCTATTAATGTTTTAATGCAAGAAAATAAAATAAGCTTTAAATGAATATGTAAAGCTCTGTGTAAATCTATGTTTTCTTGTAAGGTTGTTGCTGTTTTATTAATTTTCCTATTATACCGAATACATAACTTGTCAAGTGATCACTGTAATAACATGTAAGCAACAAACCAACTTCTTATCTAATATTAACATCACTCGACACCACCAGCACTTTCTCTTTTTATTCAAAAAATGTTTGTCCATTTTGCCCCAGATTATAATATCCATTTAAATCATAATATAAAAATAAATACTGTATTATTGATTTTATTTGCACAGAATTGTCTGAATTTCTCTTAAACAGCATGAAACAAACACCCAAACAGGTGACTGAAGAGATGAATGAAGAAGAGCGGTTTGATTCTGTAATAATGATAGCTGTATACTATGAGACCGAGTATCATTTAACAGCAGCAGGGTGCATGTGAAAGACTGTGTGTCAGATCCTCTGCTGCTGTGTGTCTGTCTGCAGCAGTGCTCGTTTCACCAGCGCTGCAGTGTTGAAGGGGCAGATGTACAGATTGTAGTAGAATATAAAGTTACAGAAGAACAGAGGAATCAGCCTCCACAGCAGCACAAATACAGAGGCATCTGTTATCACTGCTAACACCTCCTGCCAGACACGCTTAGGGAGCGTCCTGCAATCACAACACACAGCAATCATCCCATCAGTCTTCAGAAATCACACACAGCACGTCTAGCAGCTCTCAATTAACAGTGTTAAACATGGAGAAGTGTTTCATTAAAACAGACATCTGTCTTGTGTGTGTACCTCATCTGTCCTCTCTTCAACAGCGTCCAGAAGAAATGCACATCCAGCGTGGACAGTAGCACAGCGTGTAACATGACGAGGCGTGCCGTCCAGTAATGAACGCTCATCCAGTGCCAGGCGAACGCAGACAGCAGCTGATAGGGCAGCAGGAAGTACATCAGCAGAAACTCCGCCCACTGACTCCAGCCCGGCCAATCCTGATGCGGCACACGCAGAAAACGAGAGAGAGTTACATAAAAGCCGCCTTTTTGTTATCTCCAACAACTGACAGACGACAGACCTGCAGTCATTCATGTAGAGTATGGAGGCTGTGTGCCTACGGCAAATTTTCAGCTTTGGGTGCACTGAAATATTTCTAGTTAAAAGTTAAAATAACTTTGCGGCTAGATTGTATTCTAATCAAAACTGTGAGCGCGAGGTGAGAATTGCTAATATTCTTCCTCCACACATTGATTGTGATAGGAGCTGCTTTACGAGCAATCTGAAAGGTCTGTGCGGCATGCGTCGGTCGTCTGCAGAAGTGGTGGAGAGTGAAAGGCAGTGACGCACCAGCGGCGTGTCGATCAGGCTGTCCTGTGTGGTTTGTGCCGGGCAGCTGGTGTGGACGAAGGGAAGAAACGTGTCGTCATAATCGAACAGGAACAGACAGAGCAGCGTCAGCCGGGGAAATCTGCGCAAACTCAACAGCAGAAACAGAGTCTTCCCTAAATTCAGATCCTGAACACACACACAGAGAGAGAAAGAGATGATGCTCAACAATCTGACCATCCCTGGTGAGTATACTTGAGTGAACTTTTAAAAGCTCACACACACACACACACACACACACACACACACTCTCTCTCTCACACACACACACACACTCTCTCTCACACACACACACACACACACACACACACACACTCACCTTGTACTGCCAGAGGTTCAGTGAGACCCGGCGCTGTCTGAGTCTGTGCCGCTCCTCCAGGATGATCTGTCTGTGAGACTCGTTCCTGATGCTGAACGGAGCCGCGGACAGATCGTCATCGCTGAGAGCAGACAGTAACCTGACACACACACACACACACATCTCAGGGGTGACTCGTGTGTGATAGCACTCTAGAACGGCTTCTCAAACATCTTGATGTCAAGGACCTAAATGTTGTGATGCCCTTCCTAAAATATAAGGAAGCGCTCTCTCTCTCTCTCTCTCTCTCTATTTATACAGTATATGAGCAATATCACAGGAGTAGCAGCAGAACACGCATGCGCTGCGGCTTGTTTACGAGCACAGGAGTGCACACGCTTGCTTCGTGGTACTCTAGATAATGGTGGAGGACGGTTACTTGGAGGAGAAGAATTGTTGAATAAAGTTGTTATTTTTGTTTTCTTTGTGCACAAAAAGCTTTGTAAAATTACGATTGAACCACTGAGGTCACATGGACTGTTTTACCGTTGTCCTTACTACGTTTCTGGACCTGGGAACATTTCAGTTGTATTGCTGTCTATGGAGGGTCAGAAAGCTCTCAGATTTCATCAGAAATATCTTAATTTGTGTTCCAAAGATGAACGAAAGTCTTATGGATTTGGAACGACATGGTCTTGTCGCCATCTAAAAAAGTTGCTAAGCAACTCAGTCAAAAGTACAAAGGCAGCACTCTGATTTACAGCATCGAAGTTAGATAAATTATAACATGGTGAGATTTTCAGCCAAAACTATTTGCTCTGGAACAAATAATAGATTAAAGAGACCAAAGACTGCCCGTGAGATTTACCCAAATGAATTATATCTCATGTTTAACCTCTATAGAGACATCAGAGCCAGCGGCAGATCTGGCCGAGGTGAGGCGCTCTCTCCGCAGGTTCATGAGCACAGAACGGCTGCTGACGCTCTGGAGCTCACGTCTCCGAAAACATCGAATCAAATTTTCAAATAGACGTTATCTTTATTAACAAACTGCATATTTTGAAGTCTAAACAAGTACATTCTCACCTAAAAAACTCTGTGACACAGACACAGTATTATTTATTATAGAAATACTGCAAGCGGAGTGATACAAACGTTCACCCTTTTTCAGACCCTCTTGGTTCTCAGTCCTGGCTCTGGAGACTCACGGTGATCTGATGAGAGCTGTGGGTCTCCAGGACCAGGACTGACGGCCTCTAATTCCAGATGTAAATGACTGTAGTGTGAGTGTTACCTGCCGTTGATCTGTTCCCTGCGGAAGGTTTCTTTATACTGATTGGTCCAGACGCTCAGATGCTCCACCCACAGAGTGACATCATCAGCGCTCCACCTGCTGAGCGGTTTACTGAGCAGCACCTCATGACTGGTGCTGGTACTGTACACACGCCACATTAACACCACCATCTACACACACACACACACACAGTGATGATGCAGTGCAGCAGCTCATCCTTAGTGTGTGTGTGTGTGTGTGTGTGTGTGTGTGTGCGTGTGTCACTCACAGCCATGCAGCACAGCACTATACTGATTCCAGAGCAAAACTCTCTGATGTTGAACTCCGGAGGATTCAACATATCCAACTGTGGTTGATTCAACATATTAAACGGTGGTTGGTTCAGTATATTAAACTGCGGTGGGTTCTGTGGCGGAGCTGCGCGAGGGGGCTGTCTCTTCCCCTGCTGCTGGAAGGCCTGGAGAACACGACAGAACTGCGGATCACTCAGGATGGCCTGCTTCCGTCGGCTCACGACTGCGGGAAACAGCTTCTCCACCGCATCCCTGACACACACACCCACACACACACACACACACACAGAGAGAGAGAAAGGCTGCTTCATTGTGCGTCTGACTGAGAACATGAACATCATACAGTGACCAGGACCAAACTTATCAATAAACTACATCATTAACTATTTGAACGGGTGTCACAATCTGAATTAAGGCCTGTTCACACCACACTAGAACTGTAACGATGATAACTATAATGAGAACTACAATGATCATGATATCTAAATGGTAACTAGGGCTGCCCCCTAATAGTCGACTAACCGTTAGTTGACCAGAAGAGGCTTGGTCGACCAAAAATGTATTAGTCGCAGAAGTTCGTGACTAATAACAGATCGTTAACGGCTGGTCTATGTGGTAATACAGTACATCAGGCAGGACATCCAAACGCTCGCCAGTCATTCATCAACCTCACATATGACTTATCATCTGAAATATGTAAGTATTAGCAACTTTGCATGGCCGCTCAATCTGATGTTAACCTAGAGAAATGTGCGCTATACTGCAGGACAGATGCATTCACTTGCTCTTAAAATACTCCCTCAGGTCATACAGATAAGAGTAATACATCTTTAGAATCTGTAAAGACTACGTTTATTTGTGTGCACTCACAATAACAACAAAACATTGTGCTTTTGTAAAATAATGAAAGCAATCAGGATGCGCTTTCTGCCGTCTCGGTCTCTGTGAACATGAGCGCGAAACTCTGTGTATATCTTTGCCTTACAGACATTAAAAATATTCCTATAGAGACTAAAACTTTCAAATGAAGCAATTCATATGGAAAACAGATATTCTCAGATTATGTAATCCGTATGACACATGCATACAGGCGCATCAGTACTGCGGAGACGACGAGTCAGTGTCAGTATCTCTGACTTCATCTCTTAAACTGTAAACAAAGAAAGCACTAGTTTATCAAAATATTAAAATGTTAATGCAGTCTGCTTACTGTTTTTCACTGACACATTCACAATCATTACTTCTGCCGGTGCGCTGTAGCAAGCTTTATGCATGCGCTTCAGCGCTTATTAGGCTATGTAGACAATTAAAGGCTCATTATAATGATTTAAATGGTTTATTTACGTGTGATTAGTCGACTATAGGCGACCAGAAAAATCTTTAGTCGAGGGCAGCCCTAATGGTAACTTTATATATTAATCGTAACTATAA